CGCTAATGCTGCTCATATGGGGACCACACTTTTTTCCCCTTAAGAACCAGAGAACAGATAATCCAAGTGAAGTCTAGCACCTGCTGGGCCCACAGTAGGGACTTAGTACACATCGGCCCTGTGATGACTATGAGGTGGTGGACTTTGCTGCTTTTGCTCCTGGGCCTCAGTGCTTACAGCAGATTTCACTCTTGACATGGAGCCTGTGGGTCTAGGGCTTACAGGACTCGCTGCCCTTGCTTTAGGGACAGGGGTCAGTTCTGCCGACATTTACTGAGTGCCAGGGCCCTGGGATGGGGTAACAGCGTCTCAACCCAGGTTATATCTCACACCTGGGACTCATGATGAACTCTGAAACTCCTTCCTTCAAGGAGCCGCAGTCTTATAGACGAGGCAGACAAGCAAAGACATTATTACATGGCGCCTAACTGAGCACATGGGGCAGAACTGCTGGGTCTAATGTCAGTGGGGTTGAACTCCACAATACCACCAACCAACTGGATACAGTCAACTGTGTGTGTGCATTAGTCACTCAGTCATGTCCGACTCTTTGTGACCCCATGGACTGTAGCCCACCAGGCTCCTCTGTCCGTGGGATTCTCCAGGCAAGAATACTGGAGTGGGTTGCCATTTCCTCCCCCAAGGGATCCCTGTTTTATCTTTCTAAGCTCACCTCACCACTCAAAATGTTGTATACTTGCACATGTGATCATTGTCTGCCTCCTTCTGTTGGAGTATCCATAGAATATGAGCTGGGGTCGAGGGTGTACACAGCGTCTGGGTTTTGTTCACGTCTGTATGCCCAGGGCCTGGCACACAGAAGGCTCTCAGTATTTGTTGGTGGACGAAGGATTGAAGGCAGGCAGGGAGGTAAGCCCTTTGCAGACCTTATTCAGTTATTCCTTCCCTAGGAGGTAGATGCTGTTAATACCTCAATTTCCCTGGTGGCTCAGCTGGTAAAGGATCTGCCTGCAATGCCGCAGACCTGAGTTCAATCCCTGGGTTGGGAAGATCCCTTGGAGAAGGGAATGGCTACCCACTCCAGTATTCTGGCCTGGAGAATTCCATGAACTATATAGTCCATGGGGTTGCAAAGAGTCGGACACGACTGAGTGACTTTCACTTTCACAGAAGGAGAAACTGAGGCACAAAACGGCACCAGGCCAAGGCGGTGGCAAGAACAGGATTTACTCCCAAGTCTCTGTGACAGGGTCAGAGAGAATGTGTTCTGTCTGTCATTCGGGAGTTCTCGGGGTCTCAGAAATACGTAATACTTGGAAAGTAACCCCCGACACCTCCCTTTGCCTATTGCTAGAGGGGAGGTGTGGGCGTGGAGGAAAGAATGGGGAGGGGTGCCCCTGAGAGTGAGCAGGGGTCTCCTGGGTCTCCACCCTCCGGGCTGGCCCCCTGGCCTGCTGCAGGGGCGCAGACCCTGGATGGGCTGACACCACCCTCCATGTGCCCGCAGTGGACCGCATCGTGGGGCTGGACCAGATGGCCAAGATGACGGAGAGCTCGCTGCCCAGCGCCTCCAAGACCAAGAAGGGCATGTTCCGCACGGTGGGGCAGCTATACAAGGAGCAGCTGGGGAAGCTGATGACCACGCTGCGCAACACCACGCCCAACTTCGTGCGCTGCATCATCCCCAACCACGAGAAGAGGGTGAGGCCACCGCCCAGCTCCTCGGGACGCCTGCAGGGTCTGCAGGGAAAGGGGAGGCAGGCCGGGCTCCAGGGGCAGGAGGAAAGCCAGGCCACCCCCCCACCCAGAGGGCTTCAGCTGACAAGGGTGGGAGGCACTCCTTTCTCTTCCGAGAGGCAGAAGAAGGCAAGAGAGGAAGGGAGAATGCTCCCGGGGACTCTGAGCCCTGGAGTGGCTGCACATGGTATCAGATCACTCGTTCACTAATATTTACTGTAATATTTACAGTAAACATTATTCAGCTAATATTTGCTGAGCCCCACCCGTGCCGGGTGCTGGGGATTTGGTGCTGGATAGACTGTAGTCCTTGCCGGCAGGTGTCATAATCTAGGGCAGGGGTGCTTCACTGGGGGGCAGTCGTGTGCCCTCCCTTCCCCCACAGGGGAGATTTGGCCGTGCCTGGAGACATTTTTAATTGAGAAGGGGGCTATTACTGGCATCCAGCGCACAGAAGCCACGGATGCTGCTAAACATCCCGTAGCACATAGAGCTGCTCCCCTTGAAACCACAGAGAATTATCCAGCCCAAGATGTCAGCAGTGCTGAGTTGTGGGAGAGGTGGACACACCAGCTGAGGATGTCATGCGGTAAATTATGAGAATACCAAAGAGCCAGGGCTCCCACTCAAAACTCAGGGCTCAGAGAAAGCTTCCTAAAGGATGTGAACTTGGTAACTCGGAGGGCAGGGAGGAGAGGGCATCCTAGGCAGAGGGACCAGAATAAGCAAAGGCGTGGAGGAGAGAAATGAAGGGTCTGGGCGAAGAAATTCTAGGGGGGTCGTTCCATATTGACGTGTGATGGTGTGCGACAGGGATGGTGGAGATGAGGCTGGAATGCTGGGCGGGGCTTAGATTGTGGCATTCCTGGGGGTTGACAGGGCTTGGCACTCCTTCTGTAAGATGTTATCAGGGGGCTTTTAAAAGCAGGGGTATATCATGATCAGATTTGCATTTTAGAAACCAAACGAGGCAATGGGAGAGGCAGGACGGGGTGGGAAGACAGTACAAGGCTACTGTGGTCATCAGGGCAGGAGAAGAGGGCGGCGAGTGGATGGCAGTGGTGAGAGAAGTGGGTGGGTGGGGAGATGTTTGGGAGGTAGGAGCCGTAGAACTGGTGATGGGCAGGAAGTGAGGTGGGGGAGGTGATAAGGAGGAAGCCCCAGGTGATGCTGGTGCCAAGAAGAGAGATGGCACCAGACCCTCAGCTGAGCTCTCACTGGTGCCCCTGGTGATCCCGCCGTGGCCTGGCGAGGTGGGTCACCGGGCCTGAGACTCGGGGTTCGCTGCTCCCTGAGGCCCCAGCAGCCCACCACCCTCCACATCTTTGCAGTCGGGCAAGCTGGACGCCTTCCTGGTGCTGGAGCAGCTGCGGTGCAATGGGGTCTTGGAAGGCATCCGAATCTGCCGCCAGGGCTTCCCCAACAGGATCGTCTTCCAGGAGTTCCGCCAACGGTGAGCCTGCCGGGCCGGTGTGGGTGGGGTGGGTGTTGGGGCGGGGGTGGGGAGCAGGCTGGGCGGAGGGACAGACTGGTGACAACGGAGATGCTCTCAGTCGTGACTCCTGCACTGTGTCTCAAGGTATGAGATCCTGGCCGCGAACGCCATTCCCAAAGGCTTCATGGACGGGAAGCAGGCCTGCATCCTGATGGTGAGCCTGGTCCCCAGCCCCTCCCCAGAAATCCACCTGCAGTCCTCCCAGCCTCGGGTGGCATTGCCCACAGCTGCTCCAGGCAGGAACCTCCTTAAACACACTTAACCCCCCACCAAGTAGCAGAGCCGAGAACGGGAACTCTCCCCTCCTTTCTTCCGCAGATCAAAGCCCTGGAACTCGACCCCAACTTGTACAGGATCGGGCAGAGCAAAATCTTCTTCCGAACCGGGGTCCTGGCCCACCTGGAAGAGGAGCGAGACTTAAAGATCACCGACGTCATCATGGCCTTCCAGGCGATGTGTCGCGGCTACCTGGCCAGAAAGTAAAGACCTGCATGCTGTCGCCTCCCTGCAAACACAGACCAGAGATGCAAAATTTCAGGGGTTTTCTGGCCTCACGTCCTGATTCCCTGATTCTAAGGGGCCATCTGCTCTAAGATGTGTCACTGATTGAATGGCAGCCTTTTCTTGAGGGGGAAGAAATGCTACCACTTTAAAGATACGTGCTAGATACAAGGGCAGGGCAGGAAGGGGTTAAGACCACGGGCTCTGGAGAGTCAGATGTGGGTTCTATCCTGGCTTCCCTACTTATTTGCTGAAGAACCTTGGGAAAGTTACTCTACCTCTTTGAGCCGTAGGAAAATGAGTATAATCTTTCCTGCCTCGTAAACTTGTTTTAATGAGGGGGAGTCAATGAAATACTGCTTGTAAACAGTTGAGAACAAAGCTGGTTATCATTTAAGAAGTGTGAGAATATGATAAAGCACCCGAGGAAGGTATGTTGGTATCTATACCCCCATGTCCGAATGGGATTCATAAGGCATGGTCTTGCCCTGATGCTCCCTCTGTTTTGAGAAACCAGGGAACTGGGTGAGGGCTAGGGTTCCTCTATGAAACTCACACCCCAAACAGGACTGCAGGGGTTGGTGGAGTAGCTCTAGCCCAGGGCATGTGTCATCATTAGGTACAGACCACGCACTCATCTGATCGTGTCAAGCTGATTCATTGCCGGGTAGACCCAGAGTGGTCAAGGCCAGATCTGGGGAGCTCTTGGTCCAGGGACAGACCTAACCTTTAAGTCTCATAACTAAATTCTCTGTTCCCACTACTCCCACTTCCAGACTGACTGGGGAGGTTTTATTCTTCAAGTTCACCCATGTCACCATGCAATGGCAGCCACTCAGAGACAAGAGGATGGTGTTCGCTCTTCTGTGGTTTTTCAAACCCAATAGCCCTTAAATAGGAGGGGTGCTGGTTCTGTGTCAGGTCTGGGAGTTTAAAATACACCCGAGGAAAGGATTGGTTTTTCAGACACTCAGCTTTGGGGAAGATGTGGTACAGATGAGTGTGTCGGATGCTTCTCAGGAATGGTGTAGCATGGGTTGATTTCCTAGGTGTTACCAGGACCACAGATCCGAATTCAAGGAATTTTGTGAGCCTTGGGTCTTCCTTGTCCATTGAGAAAGGCTCTGGCCTCCAGATGACATACTTGTACTGATGCTCAGAGCTTGCTAGAGAATCTGGGCTAGAGAGAATGGGGGGATATCCTTGTGTGAGTCACAAAATCACAAGCCAGACAGACGCGTCCTGCTCCCAGGACGCTGCGAGGCTGGATGCTGTGACAGCACAGTGAGGTGTGTGTTGGGCAGAGCGGGTCTTCTCACACCTCCCCTTCCTTCTCCCCAGGGCCTTTGCCAAGAGGCAGCAACAGCTGACGGCCATGAAGGTGATTCAGAGGAACTGCGCCGCCTACCTCAAGCTGCGGAACTGGCAGTGGTGGCGGCTCTTCACCAAAGTGAGTGCCTTCTCATCCCAAGCCCCCTCCTACCCCCACCCCCCAAGTCCTGGGTCTTCCCTGGGACGCTGCCCATGTGGGACTGGAGGTGGTGGATAGCAGGCTTGCAACCGAGAGCTCAAAACCAAACCTTCCCCATTGGCGATTCTCTGGGCTTGAGAAGGGCCCCCTCTTTGGCACATGGGTTACAACCATGACCTTAACCCAGACCCAGAGCACTTCCATCACCACAGGGATCCTTTCTACTGCCCATTTATAGCTCTACCCACTTCCCTCCACAGCCCCAGCAAGCACAAAGCTGTTCTCCATTTCTGTACTTTTGTCATCTCAAGAATATTATATTAACTATATATATTATATATAACTATGGGTCCCATAGTTATGTCACCAGGGCTCCCCTGATAGCTCAGCTGGCAAAGAATCCACCTGCAATGTGTGAGACCCCAGTTAGATTCCTGGGTCGGGAAGATCCGCTGGAGAAGGGATAGGCTACCCACTCCAGGTGTTGGGCTTCCCTTGTAGCTCAGTTGGTTATGAATCTGCCCACAATGTAGGAGAGCTGGGTTCAGTCCCTGGGTTGGGAAGATCTCCTAGAGAAGGGAATGGCTACCCATTCCAGTATTCTGGCCTGGAGAATTCCATGGACTATATAGTCCATGGTGTCGCAAAGAGTCGGACACGACTAAATGACTCACTTTGTCACAAAGCCGTCATTCTCTGGAGAGCCCTGCATCCAGCGTGTTGTGTGTGTCCACTGTTTGTTTCTCTGGCTACAACTTGGTCTTGCAGTGTCGCTGGCCGTCACGAGTCCATTGGGCAAAGACTTGCTCTGTGGGGACGGACACAGCTTCCTCTTAGTTGCCCTTGAGTGTGTCGATGGGCACAAATCTTTTTCACTGGGCAACTATGTATTGAATGGCCACTCTGCACCAGGCCTGTGGGAAGGGGCCTACCCTGGGGATACCCCGGCTTCATGAATGTTCTAGGTGAGTGGAGGAGTAGACGATAGGTAATCACAGGAAGTGATGCCCTTGGCAGACTGGGGTCAGCGCAGGAAGGAAGCTGCAGTGTGTCAAATATTGGTTCCTCTAGTGCCAGGCGGGGCTTGAACACAAGGAGTTAGGAGTCATCACGGTAAAAAGCAGTGAGGGGAAGCTGCTTTTTGGAAATGTTCATTCCCACCGACCCAACTTCTGGAAAACTCTCCTAAGAAAACCATCTGAAATGAAGAAAATTTTAAAAATGAAGGGCATTCATTTACAAGAGCAAAATTTCAATGCCCAGCCCTGGCAGACTGACTCATAACTGCTCATCCATCAATGGGATACTTTTCAATCGCTAAAAATGATGGTATTTAAAAATCAAGTTGTAACGCTAATGTGACAGCAGAGATGACAATTATCCTGTAGTTTTTAGTAATAAAAGCAGCACGTAGGGAATTCCCTGATGGTCCAGTGGTTAGGACTCTGTGCTTTCACTGCAGAGGGCCCGGGTTCAATCTCTAGTCCAGAAACTAAGATCCCTCAAGCCTCATGGCATGGCAAAAAAAAAACTTCCTTAATTAAAAAAAAGTACATGTAACACTGGGCAGTGTGGTCTCAGGTGTATTTTTTTTGGTGTGTAGGACAAAGGGCTAGAAGGAGATGCTAATAGTGCTAGTAACGGGAGGTAGGATGTGGGGGACTTTGCTTTCCTTTTCTCTTTGGAAGGAAACATTATCAGCTTGTCAGCAGCAGTTCTCACTCAGGATGGGGCTAAAAGGGGGGAGGGAGGCTTTCTCCTTTCACTTTGCACCTTTTCCTGTTGCCCTAAGATTTTCGGTCTCGGCACTGTTGATATCTTGGGATGGATAATTCTGTGTCACGGAGGCTGTCCTGAGAGTTCTAGAATGTCGAGCAGCATCTCTGGCCTCTGCCCACTGGAGGCCAGTAGCATCCCCCACCACCACACCTAGTTGTGACAGCTAACGGCGTCCCCAGAAACTGCCACATGTCCCCTGAGGGGCTGTGGATGGAGTAAAACTGTCTCTGGCTGAGAACCATTGATTTACTTACTGCGAGAGTGTATCCTCTCGAAACAACTGATGCGCTGACCCACTGTGTGCAGGTGAAGCCCCTGCTGCAGGTGACTCGGCAGGAGGAGGAGATGCAGGCCAAGGAGGATGAGCTGCAGAAGACCAAGGAGCGGCAGCAGAAGGCCGAGAGCGAACTCAAGGAGCTGGAGCAGAAACACTCGCAGGTACCAGAGGCCGAGGAGATGCGAGTCCGGCTGGCAGCCAAGAAGCAGGAGCTGGAGGAGATCCTGCACGAGATGGAGGCCCGCCTGGAGGAGGAGGAAGACCGGGGCCAGCAGCTGCAGGCAGAACGGAAGAAGATGGCCCAGCAGATGCTGGTAAGGCACTGCGGGGGCTGCCCACGGTGGTGCCGCATCCCTTGAGTCTCCCTGCAGACCTGTGAGGTGCATCTGATGATGTGTGTCCCCACTGGACTGAGACAGAGACTCAGGCTTGGAGTGGAACAGCCCTCTGCCTACACAGGTCTCCTAGGGAGCCTCCCCTGTCCTACTGACCTGCCTTCCATGCACAAACACATCTTCTCCTAATAGCTGCCCTGTGTGAGGGGTAATTGTATCAGTAAGCTACTGCTGCAGAACAAAAAGCACCAAGACTCAGCAGCTTAGAAACAATAAGCATTTAGGACTTCTCTGGTGGACCAGTAGTTAGGAATCTGCCTGCCAACACAGGGGGACATGGGTTCGATCCCTGGTCCAGGAAGATCCCACGTGTTGTGGGGCCTGTGTGCCACAACTACTGAGCCGCACTCTAGAGCTCATGAGCTGTAATTGCTGAGCCCACGTGCCGGAACTGCTGAGGCCCATGTGCCTAGAGCCTATGGTCTGCAACAGGAGGACCCACCGCAATGAGAAGCCCACACACCGCAACTAGAGAAAGCTGGACCCAGCACACCCAAAAATAAATTAAAAAAAAATTTTTTTTGTAAATGAAAAACATTTATCTCACACAGTCATGACTCTGAGAGTGGCTTAGCTGGGTGATTCTGGCTTAGAGCTTCCCATGATGCAGTCGTGATGGCAGCACAGGCTGCAGTCATCTGAAGGCTTGACTGGGGCTTGAGGATCCACTTCCATGGGTGAGTGAGCCATCACTCACGTGGCTGTAGGCAGGAGATCTCAGTTCCTTATTCTGTGGGCTTCTCCACAGCGCTGCTTGAGTGTCCTCACAGTATGGCAGCTTGCTTTTCCTGGACGGAGTGCATGGAGGGAGAACAGAGGAGAAAGCTGCAATGCCTCTTATAGCCTGATCTCTGACTTACACACGCCATCGCTTCCTCTTGGTTTTGTTAGAACCAAGTCACTAAGTCCAGCTGACACTCAAGGGGAGAAGAATTAGGCTCCAACTCATGAAGGGACGAGTATCAGAGAATTTGTGGGCATATTTTTAAACCATCATGGTATCTGTTCTCCCCACTTTACAGATGCGGAGACTGAGGCTCCGCAAAGCAAAGCGATTTACCCAAACCTTTTCTTTCTGATGGAAAGAAGCTGCAGAGCGCTCCAGGGGGCCATTAGGCCCAGCCTCTGTATCCATGAGTCCCCAGAGCTCCAGGAGAGTAGATTTTGGGTTAAGCAAGGCTGTAATTCTTTTCGCTCCCCCACAAAGGACCTGGAGGAACAGCTGGAGGAAGAGGAAGCTGCCAGGCAGAAGCTACAACTTGAGAAGGTCACAGCTGAGGCCAAGATCAAGAAACTGGAGGATGATATTCTGGTCATGGATGATCAGAACAATAAGCTGTCAAAAGTGAGTGGGGTTGGATGTCCCTGGTGGTCCAGTGGTTAGACTCCACTGCATGGGGGAGTGGGTTCGATCCCTAGGCAGGGAACTAAGATCCCACATGCCCTGTGATGTGGCCAAAATTTTTTTTTAAAAAAGTGAGAGGGGTTGAGTATCTGCATTAAAATGACAGGCTCATCAGGACTGTGGATACCTTCAGATACCTTCCCTTTTTTAGCCAGGTACAAGGAATTAAAGGCCAACCAAGCGGTTACCTCTGGCATTGATGTAGCGGCCCTGTGACCACTGTCAGGATGCAAGCATGCCATGGATGGGGTCCCCGGTGGTCCCAACAGGGCCAGGGCCACCGTGGAGCAAGTGTCAGGAACACCACAACCAATGCAACCCCCAAGTTGTGCAAGGGAGGGTGGGCAATGTGCCTGAGACCAGGGGGCCCCTCTCATATTCTCACCACCCACTTCCAAGTCCTAACAGAGGACCAGCTGTCCTGGCATTGAGGGGCTTCTGGGATGTGAGACTTTCAGCCCCCAAACCAGGAAAGTCCCAAGATGAGCAGGTCACCCTAGTCAGTATCCACTAAACAGCCCCACTGTGGGTGGACTGCCTTTAGTCCTGGATGCCAGCTGGGCACCAACTGTGAGACAGGCTTGGGGTCAGGGGCAGGGCGTGTGCGGTGCAGGAGGACCCAATCCTCGAGGGCTTATGTTCTAGAGAGAAACAAGTAGATGATTGTACGAGCAGCCACTAATTGCTATCATGATCAGGGTTCTGAAGGAGGTGTTCACCCTCTTACAAGAGCAGAGCACTAGGGGATGGAGGTGGGGCGTTCAGGGGAGGCTTCCTGGAGGAGGTGACATTTCAGTGGCAACCTGAAGAATGAGGAGCAGTTAGAGGGAGATGGGGTGGAGGCACATCCCAGGCAGATGGTCCCGCCTGTTTGCAAGAGCCCTGAGGCCTGTGGCAGGAAAGGAAAGAGGCCCCTTGGCTGGGACATGAAGTTGAGGGGTGGAGGGGCCCGAGGTGGGGAGTGGCTGGTCTTTGGAAAGTATTATTGTTGAGGAGCTTATTTTTCCCCATTTAAAAACTCTAGGTTGCATTTAGTTATAGTGTGGATTATCCTTTCAACTGTTTACCTGGAAATTACTAACACTGAAACATAGTCCCCAGAGAAAAGGAAAAAAACTAATGATATCTCTTTTTCTTTTCCCCCAAAAGGAGCGAAAACTCCTTGAAGAGAGGATTAGTGACTTAACAACAAATCTTGCAGAAGAGGAAGAAAAAGCCAAGAATCTTACCAAACTGAAAAACAAGCACGAATCTATGATTTCAGAACTGGAAGGTAAAACGGCTTCACGTCCTGGCTTTTTCACAGTGCGGCTGAAGAAGGAGGAGAAGAGCCGGCAGGAGCTTGAGAAGCTCAAGAGGAAGCTGGATGGGGAGGCCAGCGACTTGCACGAGCAGATCGCGGAACTGCAGGCGCAGATCGCCGAGCTCAAGATGCAGCTGGCCAAGAAGGAGGAGGAGCTGCAGGCAGCCCTGGGCAGGTACGAGGCCGCCAGGGGGGCAGGTCCAGTGTGTGCTTGTGCCCCGAGGGCCCCTGCCGATCTGCGGGGGGCGCCTGGTCCTCCTCCTCCTCCAGGCAGGCCGCCATCTCACATGAAGTGGCCCCGACCTGGCCTCCCAGGTGCCTCTTGGTCCTGCTGGCACCTCCAGAACCTCGCCTTTGACCTTCTCTTCCTACCAAGCTCATCCTCTCTGCTGCCACTGTGCCTGCATCTTGGGTGCCCATCCTTTGTTATCTGCGCCCCAGTCCTGGATTTCTGGTTGTACAAAGAGTCTGTTCCATCGGCACCACAAACACCATGTGTCTGAGGCTGGGAGGACCCTCCTGTCCCTGGCTCTCTCCTTCTGAGGCCCCTCTTTTTGTGCATACCAGTCTCCTCCCGAGCTTTAGCCCCCTTCTCTTCCCGCCCAGGGTACAGCAGACTCGGCCCGTTCCATGAGGTGTGTCCCCCACCCATTTTCTGCGCCCCCTTCTCCCAGCTCGGAGCTGGGTTCCCTCTAACAGCCTCCCCCTGGGGGTGTCACAGCAGTGACTGACAGTTATTTACCTGCTCTCCATGTGCTGACCTCTGCTCAGTGTCTTTACCGACACCTGGCCAGATGTGCTGCCGTACCTCCAGTCACTGAGGAGGAAGCGGGGCCAGTCGCCCAGCTTTTCAGAGACTGGCTGGGAGTCACTTTCTGGTTGGCCCCCTGGCCAGCTCGCTCTCAGCCGGTTTGCGCCAGGCGACGGCGCTAGGGTGACGGGCCACCTCGTGTCTTCCCTCCACTGGCCCCTTCCCATCCATGGTGGACGAAACCAGGAGCAGCCCCACTGTGGTCAGGAGGGAGCTCCCTTCCATGCCCTCGGGTCAAGGCTCCCCACCTCCCACCCTGACCCGCAGTCACCATCTCCCCTGGTGTTGACATCCCCACCCCCGACAAGCAGTGCCTGGCCAAGCACTCTGCATGGAGCAGAACTCAGACGCTGAGCAAATGGAAGGAAAAACCAGCCAGTAGTTCCTGGGGAGGAACGCCTGCCTAACACTCAGAAAGCATCTGTTGGGTTCCTGCTGCAGACAAGGCCCCATGCTGTCTGGGACAGTGCAAAGCGCTGTCTCTGTCTCTGTGTCTCTGTCTCTGTGTCTCTGCCTCACTTTCACACACACACACACACACACACACACACACACACACACGTGCAGCACGACCTCTTTTCTTACATGAGCCCTCAGAAACTACATCCTGCGTGAACCTGCAAGCAGGCCAGCATGGGAAGAAGTCTGGTGTCTCGGGACCTGAGAGGAACATGTTCTGATATCTGTGGAACCCAAATGACTGCTTCCAGAAAACCATTTTTGGCCACCTCGTGGGATGGACAGCAGGGGGCCTGGGACCCCGGGGTCTTAGTTCTGGTGATCTGTCCCCGGCAGGCTGGACGACGAAATGGCTCAGAAGAACAATGCCCTGAAGAAGATCCGGGAGCTGGAAGGTCACATCTCAGACCTCCAGGAGGATCTGGACTCCGAACGGGCCGCTAGGAACAAGGCGGAGAAGCAGAAGCGGGACCTGGGGGAGGAGCTGGAGGCACTGAAGACGGAGCTGGAGGACACGCTGGACAGCACGGCCGCCCAGCAGGAGCTCAGGTGAGGCGGCCCTGCCGGCCGGCCGGCCGCTCAATGGGTCGGGACGGCGGGTGGCAAGGGGCAGACCCACACAGATCCTGAGTCACGGGGCTCCTCAGTCCTGACTGCATTTTGCTTTAACTGATATAAGCATGCTTAATTTTTTTTTAATTGTATTGAAATATAGTTGATTTACAATGTCATGTTAGTTACAGTCCTGACCGCATTTTGCTTTAACTGATATAAGCATGCTTAATTTTTTTTTAATTGTATTGAAATATAGTTGATTTACAATGTCATGTTAGTTTCAGGTGTACACCAAACTGATTCAGTTCTGTTCTTAACAAAAAGAACATCTCAGCAAACTGAGTAATAAATATTTCTGGCTAATTAAGCCACATGGATACCTAAAAGGGTTCTCATATCTTCCTACCCTGGAGTTGATTAGCTACTTGGCATTTGGGAGTTTCCTGTTACCCAAAGAGGGTAATTGGAGAAACTGGATTTTTTTAATTATTTGAAAATACTAATAATTTATTATATTTGATATTATAAATACGAACATCAAATCTAAATATAATAAAACATTTTAATATGTCTGAACCATGAAAATCAACTGGTAAGTTAAGCATGCTTGTTTTTTAAATTTATTTATTTTTAATTGAAAGATGGTTGCTTTACAATATTATGTTGGTTTCTGCCATACATCAACGTGAATGGGCTATAGGCATGCATATGTCCCCTCCCTCCCACCTCCCACCCCATCCTACCCCTCGAGGTTGTTACAGAGCCCCAGTTTGAGTTCCTTGAGTCATAGAGCAAATTCCCACTGGCTATCTATTAGACATATGGCCGTGGATATGTTTCCACATTACTCTCTCCATTCGTCCTACCCTCTCCTTCACTCACCCCTTCCCGTGACCGTAAGTCTGTTCTCAATGTCTAGTCATGCTTATTTTTTAATCTTGTCTTACATCACAGTAGGAGGATATACTCAATTAGAGAATGACTTGAAAATTATAGGAAAGTTAGATACCAAAAGCATCGACCCCAGTCCCACCACGGTTAACATTTTGGGGAATTTCATTCCTGTCTTTTCCTGAGTGTGTGTATAAGTTTTGCATTAAATTTTCAAAATAATATTTATCAGATTGGTCTTCACTTGAAGTGTCACTGCTGGCTAACTGACAATACCCAACCAAAAAGCAGAAACAAAAACAGGTCACCTGCCAGATGATGAATGCCAACTTCAGTGAAACTAGGTCATTTATTTATTCAACAGACACACAAGTGTCAAGTGCTGTGCTAACATGGAGATTTACTTCCCACATTTTGGGTTTTGTGCTACATCACTTATCTGGGCCTAGAAGCCAGCACAACTTTCTGCTCCCTTTGCACTGGCCCAGAGCAGTAGCTCATAGCAGTGACCTCAGGCTATTTGGGTTCAAATTCTGGTCAGTCACACAGTGGTTTTAATACCTTGGACAAGCTGCTTACTCTTTCTTAGCTTTTGTTTCCTCATCTGTAAAACAGAAATAATGATACACTTGCCTCTAAAGGTCACTCTGAATATTCCATCAGATGACATATACCCAGAACTTAGGTCAGAGCTTGGCATAGAGCATATCCTCATTAAATAAAGCTAATGTTAATATTTACAGAACAGTCTGCAACTCACTTTCCATTCTTCCAACAATATCATGTGTTTTATTTTGTGTATTTGCTTGTCAGCCCTGGGAGATTCTGGGAGGTAGCATGCTCCTCTTTTTTTATAGCTACCTCCTTCTTTTGAGGAAATTCCAGGTCCAGAGAGGTTAGGTGACTCACCTGAGGTCACACAGCTTGGGAGGGATAGTGATGAAGACTTCAGTTCCAGGTCCCGGGAGACCCCTGGTTCCTCTGCACCGAGGCAGACCTCTGTCTCCTCGGCTGCCAGCCTCCGTGTTCTTCCTGCCCAGGGCCAAGAGGGAGCAGGAGGTGACGATGCTGAAGAAAGCCCTGGACGAGGAGACTCGGTCCCATGAGTCCCAGGTGCAGGAGATGAGGCAGAAGCACACACAGGTGGTGGAGGAGCTCACTGAGCAACTGGAGCAGTTCAAGAGGGTGAGTTGCGATGTGCTTTTGGTGACAACAAAATACAAAGAATGATATGTCAGCAGCTTCGAGTAACTACCTGTGAGTGCCTGCACTAAGACCAATAACAAGCTACAGTGATTCTAATGAGAGTGATGGCACCCAGCATTTATGCTTACTGTATACTATGTTGATTAATCTTTCCCCCCACCCACTGGGATGGATACACTGACGCCCCTTTGACACAGGAAGGAACTGAGGCCCAGAGTACCTAAAGGTCACACAGCTATTGACAGAGTCCCAGCAGTCTGGCTCTGGTGTCCGTCACTTCAGTTGTGTCCGACTCTTTGCAACCCCATGGGCTGTAGCCCACCAGGCTCCTCTGTCCATGGGATTCTCCAGGCAAGAATACTGGAGGGGGTTTCCGTGACCTCCTCCAAAGGATCTTCCCAACCGAGGGATGGAACCCGTGTCTCCTGCTTTGGCAGGCGGGTTCTTTACCACCGGAGCCACCTGGCTCTGGATTCATCTCTCTGCCTCTCCAGGGTAGGGTCTCCAGGTAGGCCCTTGTGGATAAGCAGAATTTAGCAGAATTCTGGGAAGGTAGCTGAACACTGAGGACAGTCTAGCCATCTTCATTTCCCTGCAGATTGGAGCAAGACTGTCATATTTTGAGTGGCAAGACAGCGCTCCCCGGTGTAGTTTGAGAATGGCTAGATCTAATCTTCCTCTGATGCTTGGCTGTTTGGGGGTGCACGGGAACTGAGGCAGTTAACTAGCACTAAAACGCTGTGTATCCGGAACTTCCTCTCGCTTTGGAGAATGTCCTTGTGTTTCATCCCCAGGGAAGAGTTTTTTTAGTTTATGACATCCTGCTCGACGGCTTCCCTAAAGTCTGAATTATACCACCATCAGTGCTGCAGCTTTCCTCCAGAACTTTCTAGATTGAAGGGCCGTTGTGTTACTTGAGAATTGTTGGTGTTGGCATTAGTTCCTGTCGCCAGTAAGATAAATGTTCTTTGGGACACCCTGGGTGATCCAGTGGCCCAGGCTCTGTGCTCCCATTGCTGGGGGCCTGGGTTTGATCCCTGATCAAGGAACTTGATCCCACGTGCCTCAACTGAAAAGATCCCGCAGACCACAAGAAAGATCCCAGGTGCTGTAACTAAGACCCTGACTCAGCCAAATTCACCAGGGAATCCCAACTAAGACCCAGCTCAGCCAAATCAATAAATATTAAAAAAAAAAAAAAAAAAGATAAATGTTCTTCCTTGAACTGGTTCAAGGAATCAGTCTGATCAGAATCTCAGAATTTTCCCATACATTTTAATAACGCCAGCAACCCCTTGTATGGCATTGAATATATGGCACTGTTCCAAAGTTTTATGGACACCAGCTCTTTAATCTCACCCGTGACCTTTGCTAAAATGCACATCTCCAGGCCCCACACCGAAATGCACTGTCCCTGAACTGAACACCCTCACGCTCCAAGTGGAGAAAAGGCTACCCCTTGTTGCTCATCACGAGGGGTCTGAATATGAACCTTCAGCATTTTGTCAGTTCCTTTGTGTTGGACAAATAAGATCTTTCTAGTTTTATCTATAACATGTATTTCCCCTTTCAATTGTCTTCTTTTTTTAATTTTCAGATAATAATAAATATTAATAAACAATATTTCAGATAATAAGATATAAATAATAATAATAATTTTAAAAAAACTTTTTGACCATGCCCTGTGACATGAGGGATGTTAGTTCCCTGACCAGGGATCAAATCTGAGCTCCTTGCGTTGGAAGCATGGAGTCCTAACCACTGGATTGCCAGGGAAGTTCCCAGAAATTATTTTTTAATTAATTAGTTATTTATTTTTGGCTGCGCTGAGTCTTTGCAGCCGCGCTCAGGCTCTCTCTAGCTGCGGCAAGTGGGGGCTCCTCTCGAGTTGCAGTGTGCGGCTTCGCATCGTGGTGGCTTCTCTTGTTGTGGAGCACGGGCTCTAGGGCGTGTGAGCTTCAGTGGTTGTGGCTCATGGGCTTAGTTCCCCTGGGCCGTACATGGAGTTTTCCCGGACCAGGGATGGAACCAGTGACCCCTGAATTGGCAGGTGGGCTCTTAACCACTGGACCACCAGGAAGTCCCCCAGAAAATTTTATTGTGATTGAAGTTGAATACAAATGGGCTGTTCCCACCTGATGGAATAATAAGGTACATGTGTCACTTTCACTGTAAGTTTGGAAAGCTAACTGACCAGCGCTGAGCCGGGTGGTCGTCCAAGATGAGCAGGCGCTGGAGGCCTCTTTGCAGAGACTCAGATGTTCTGGCCATCCACGCCTGACCAGTGTGAGCAGGAGGAGGCTGGGAATGCCTGCCCACCATCTCAGGAGCACTGAAAAGGGGGCCTATTTTACCTCTAGCAACTTTTCAGATTGTTGGTAAAAACTCAGTGTAGTTCCCACCTCGACTCCCCTTACACGTGGGGTAAATGTCACCAGCATTCTGGGGAAAAGGTTTTAGGGGAGCCCAGGTCCCACAAGGTCCCCCAAGGGTCCTTGCATATCAACCTGCACTATTGCCTTAAGAGGTACTTTGTCCCTGTCTGGGGTCCTGGCAACAGTAAATGGACTTTGTCACCAGAGGACTGGCTTCTGAGGGTCCCTGGACACTGCACAGACCTGCCCAGGAGCTGAGGGCGAGCCCACTGTCACTTTCTCCATTCTTGGGACCCACACACTTTTCTCTCTTGCTCCTTTCCTCCTCCTATAGACCCAGGAGAAGGCCCCTCCTTTCTTCTGCTTTTTCCCCCAAATACTTTCTTTCTTAGAGAAACTCATATGCCTACAAGAGCTGGTTAGATAAAATAGCTTTCTCTAAACTTTCACAGAAATGGCAGTGTACATCTGATGATAAATCAATGGACAATAGGGAGTGGTGGGGACTGGGGCTGAGTGGAGTGTGACTGCCCTGCTTACAGGGCCAGCTGCTACTCAGATCCAGCTGATTGCTCTCTTAGAGGAAGGCAAGACCTGTTTCCAGACCTTTACTTTTTTTTTTTTTTTTTTGATGTCTCCTTGGGATCATTTGATTTATTTTTATTCGTTGGAGGCTAATTACTTTGNTGTATATAGTTCAGTGAATTTTGACAAATGATTTAACCACCACACTCAGTCATGAAATAGAACATTTGATTTTTCAAATGAGAAGCTGGGAACCCAGATTTTTATGTGATATTTCTTTTTATTTACCTGACTGTGCCAGGTCTTAGTTGTGGCATGTGGGATCTAGTTCCCCAAATAGGGATCAAACCCGGGCCCCCTGCATGGGGAGCTCTGAGTCCTAGCCACTGGACCACCAGGGACGTCCCTATGTAATATTTCTTTATTAAAATGTTAAAAGGTATAACATGGATCAAACAGGATGTAATGGCAGGGTTGATGCAGCCCAGGGGATGCAACCTCTGAGCTTTAGGAAAACAGAATCCAAAAAGTCTTACTGGTGATTGTGAGCAGTCTTACTGCTCCCCTGAGCTGGGGAGCACAGGTCCCCGGACCTACCAAGGGAGGGGGAGGCAAAGAGGAAGGTCCCCTGCTAGCACAGGCCCTTATCTGCCAGCCGTGACCCTCACGCCTCCCTCTCCCTCTGCTTCTCTGGCTAGGCCAAGGCCAACCTGGACAAGAACAAGCAGGCGCTGGAGAAAGAGAACGCGGACCTGTCCGGAGAGCTGCGAGTCCTGAGCCAGGCCAAGCAGGAGGTGGAGCACAAGAAGAAGAAGCTGGAGGTGCAGCTGCAGGAGCTGCAGTCCAAGTACAGCGACGGGGAGAAGGTCCGGGCCGAGCTCAACGACAAGGTCCACAAGCTGCAGGTGAGGCGACCTCGTTGGGACCGCCTCTGAAGGATGAGGTTCTGCCGGCGAACGGAGCCTCTGTCCATTTCCTTGCGTTGCATTCCTTGGGGAGATGAGATGGTTGCCCTATTCAATTTAACCTCTAAAAACTCCTACCTGCTCATTCAAAATGAGTATTTAGTGAGTGCCTGCTGTATGCCAGGTGCTGTGTTTGATCCTGATACACAACAGCAAGGAAGAAGACAAACACTGTCCCTGTCCCTGGAGATCTCCAGCACAGTGCAGGGAAAGACATTAATAACCATGCAGATGAATATGAAATGAGGCTGGGAAGCAGAGACACATACTGCAATGAATATAAATAATACAAGGGCCTGGGCCTGTGGAGGAGGAGTCAAGGAAGGCTTCCCTAAGAAGGATGTGCAGTCTGACAGATAAGAAGTCTGTCTATGTACAGACAGGGACTAGCATATGCAAAGGCCCAGGACTGAGTGAGAAGTCAGAAGAGGTCACGTAAGGCCAGTAGAGCTAGAATGATAAATCTGATGGACGATAGGGGATGGTGGGGACTGGGGCCAAGTGGAGTTTACAGGAAGGGGAAGATATGTGGCACAAAATGGGCCTGGAGTAGGTTGTGGCCAGAAGACACAGGGCCTTCAGGGCCCTGTTACATGTGCATATTGGTCTTCACTCTGAGTGATGGGAAACCACTGATGGTTTTAAGCTGAAGAATGACATGGTCTGTTGGTCTTTGGTCTTGATTAGCTTTGAACAGACATTTGGACTGACTTTCCATTCATGGAATATGGCCTACCTTTTGATAAATATTTAATGCGCTGAGAGCCTGGGCCAAGAGTACAGGACAGTGTGAAGTATGAGTTTTTCCACATATAGCTGAGCACAGGGGGGTTGCTATCCTAACAGAGCATCCTGGAGGAGTGAAGATCATTTATGTCCTCACTGTAAATGGGAGGAGGACGGATGGTAGGCTGACGTTTCTAAAAAGATTTGTTCAGAGATACTAGGGCATGGAGTAAAAGGCAGAGGAAAGGTAGAGAGAGCTTTCTACCTTTAGTGCCTGCGTCTATGGTTTTCCTGTAAGGGGCAGTGAGAGGTGAGGAAGAGGGGTGGTGGGGACAGGACCCTTGGATGTGGAGGTGCCCCCTGCAGCCTCTTCCCCCACTTTGGAGACTGGGTAAGTCCAGACCACTGCTCAGTGTCTGGACCCACAGACCTGCTCTTCATATTTGCCAACCTTGGCAAGGCTCCAGGATCCGTGTGGAGGGCTCAGGGCCCAATTAGTCCAGTCTAACCACAGTATAACAGGGCTCTCACAGGGTCTCGGAACCAGCGTCTACCAGAGATTGCAACTTGTAGGTGATGTCCTTCCCTCCCCTAGGTGGCCATGGAGTGACCATGACCAGGCCCCTTAGCTCATGGGAACCTCTCAATGAGTGGACACCCCAAGGCCTCTCACTGAGTACAGAGAACCCCTATTACTTAAGGACGATCCTGTCCTGGATGATCCAACTAACCAGTCTCTGGGCACCCACAGAATGAAGTGGAGAGTGTCACGGGGATGCTCAACGAGGCGGAGGGCAAGGCCATCAAACTGGCCAAGGACGTGGCGTCCCTTGGGTCCCAGCTCCAGGACACCCAGGTGGGTATCAGACCACGTCATCTGGAGGCACCTGGGGTACGGCCTTCATGGGGGTGGGCCTGGACTTCGACGTGTCCTTTTTGTAGGAGCTGCTTCAAGAAGAAACCCGGCAGAAGCTCAACGTGTCCACCAAGCTGCGCCAGCTGGAGGACGAGAGGAACAGCCTGCAGGAGCAGCTGGACGAGGAGATGGAGGCCAAGCAGAACCTGGAGCGCCACATCTCGACCCTGAACATCCAGGTGCCCACTGCATGTCTTTGCCCTGGAGGGTAGATCAGTGGCTCAGATGTGAGTGTGGTAGAACCGTGGCACCGCTTTGCTTCACTCACTGGCTCCCCCTGCTGTTGATTTTATTCAGTGATGGTCGTGGCTTCTCAGGGGCACGGGGCTGGGACTCCTTTATCCCCACCTCCTCTCATCCCACCCTGGACGCTGCCATTTCAGCTCTCCGACTCGAAGAAGAAGCTGCAGGACTTTGCCAGCACCGTGGAATTCCTGGAAGAGGGCAAGAAGAAGTTCCAGAAGGAAATCGAAGGCCTGACCCAGCAGTACGAGGAGAAGGCAGCTGCTTATGAGAAACTGGAAAAGACCAAGAACAGGCTTCAGCAGGAGCTGGACGACCTGGTCGTCGATTTGGACAACCAGCGACAACTGGTGTCCAACCTAGAGAAGAAGCAGAAGAAGTTTGATCAGGTGGGGCTGGAGGGCCCTGCCCCCCGCTCACAGACCCTGGCTGGGGGGCGAGGGTCTGGGTCTGCAGAACATCCGGCATGACTGCTGCAGTGTGGCAGCATCCCATCCTGGCTTTGCTGGGCGCGATGGAAGGCTGGCCGGCTTGGGTGAGGCTCCTCAAGGGGTCAGTGAGGACAGCAGCGAAGCCTCAGTGGCCGTGACTTTCCAGGTTCCACCGCCACAAGGGCCATCTAGAAACCCAGTCGTGCCTTGGGTTCTAGCCCTGGTAAGGAATGAGGTTTACTGATTTTGCTCACTCAGTGAGTATTTGTTGGGTGCCTACTGAGGATTCCAATTAAAGTATCTACCCTTGAAATACCACTGTTCCTTAACATCTCATCACAAAGAATCTTGAGCACACAGCAAAGCAGAAAGCATTGTGCTGTGAGCACCTGGACACTCACCACCTTGATTCAATCACTAAGGCCTTACCATACTGACTTGTGGCTTCCGTGGTGGCTCAGATGCTAAAGGATCTGCCTGGAATGCAGGCACCTGGGTTTGATCCCTGCCTGGGTCAGGAAGATTCTCTGGAGAAGGGAATGGCAACCCACTTCAGTATTCTTGCCTGGAGAATNTGGCTCAGATGCTAAAGGATCTGCCTGGAATGCAGGCACCTGGGTTTGATCCCTGCCTGGGTCAGGAAGATTCTCTGGAGAAGGGAATGGCAACCCACTCCAGTATTCTTGCCTGGAGAATTCCATGGACAGAGGAGCCTGGCAGGCTATAGTCCATGGGGTCACAAAGGGTTGGACATGACTGAATGACTAACACTTCACTGACTTTATCACATGCTTATTTATGAGTGTATTACATCTCTCATTTGTATCTTATCTTTTAGATGTGTTTAAAAGCAAATTACAGACAACCGTACATCACCCTCTAGATACCTCTACACTGCATATAAACTAGGGTTCATTTTTCAAAATATTTTTTCTTCCCTTGAAGTAAAATCACATACAAGGAAATACATAAATCTTAAGTATACACTCACTGAGTTCTGATAAATGCAGACACCTGTATGACCCAAACCCCTAAATATTACCAGCTTTTAATATGTGTTACTCAGAGCTAGTAAATATGATTTGGTTTACATGTGACTCAGGATTTATTCCAAAAATCAATTTGGGGATGAAATTTTGGGATTCTTCTCTTCTCTACCAGCCATCCCTTCTCTGTGCTGACAGCTTGTTAGTGCTTCGTATCTGCTGGTTCATCATCTGGTCCAGGGTCTGAGACTGCTGTATTGTTTTCCCGTCACAAACAGTGGAGAGTTTTTGTGTTGACTGCTGTCGGGAGTCCCTGTTACTTGCCCATCTTGGCTGGACTCTGGCAGTCTGGGTTTTGGACGCTACAGTGAACACTGCTCTTTCTATTTTGTTGTTGTTGTTTAGTTGCTCAGTTGTGTCCAACTCTTTGCGACCCCTTGCACTGTAGCCCACCAGGCTTTTCTGTCCATGGGATTTCCCAGGCAAGGATACTGGAGTGGGTTGCCATTGCCTTCTCCAGGGGATCTCCCTGACCCAGGGATCCAACCCAAGTCTGCTGCATTGGCAGGAGGATTCTTTCCCACTGAGCCACCAGGCAAGCCCCTCTATTTCTAAAGATGAGATTAACATCAGAATGGGGTATTCTTGGAGCTGCTTCCCCAGGCAGAGGGTGTGTGCAAATCCATCCACATACTCACCATTTCCCTACTCATAGGGTGGCTCATAGGGTACTTTTGTAAGGGAGTGACTGTGGCCATGAAACAAAAGAATAACTGGCCTCTGGCAGGATTGTCACCCTGACCTTGGTCACGGCATGTTCTATCCAACATGGGCAGCATTAGTGATTTCTAAGCACAAAGATACGGCGAATGCTGGCTCTGCAGAGCTGACCCAGAAGTTGGCAAGCAGGACTATTATAAACTATTTGCATAGATATGTGACCTCCTCCCAGCTGCACACAAGGATGAGTGCGGCTGCACACAAGGATGAGTGCGGCTGCATACAAGCCTTCTTCTCCATGTTTGCAGTTAAATGCAGCCGACCCTGGGGCGTGCCTAGAGCTCACCTCTGGGTCTTTGGCTGTGTTGCAGTTGTTGGCCGAGGAGAAAAACATCTCTTCCAAATATGCGGATGAAAGGGACAGAGCCGAGGCAGAAGCCAGGGAAAAGGAAACCAAAGCCTTGTCGCTGGCGCGGGCCCTGGAGGAAGCCTTGGAAGCCAAAGAAGAGCTCGAGAGGACCAACAAGATGCTCAAAGCCGAGATGGAGGATCTGGTTAGCTCCAAGGACGACGTGGGCAAGAATGTAAGTGGCTCTTCATCGTCTTTGCTTGTCCATGTCCCCCTGCCCCTGACCCTCTCTGTTAGTTACCAGTCCACGGGTAAAGAAGGGGGCCCCACACCTCATTCATGGTGAGCAATAATCAAGCTGCACACAAGGATGAGTGCGGCTGCATACAAGCCTTCTTCTCCATGTTTGCAGTTAAATGCAGCCGACCCTGGGGCGTGCCTAGAGCTCACCTCTGGGTCTTTGGCTGTGTTGCAGTTGTTGGCCGAGGAGAAAAACATCTCTTCCAAATATGCGGATGAAAGGGACAGAGCCGAGGCAGAAGCCAGGGAAAAGGAAACCAAAGCCTTGTCGCTGGCGAGGGCCCTTGAGGAAGCCTTGGAAGCCAAAGAAGAGCTCGAAAGGACCAACAAGATGCTCAAAGCTGAGATGGAGGATCTGGTTAGCTCCAAGGACGACGTGGGCAAGAATGTAAGTGGCTCTTCATCGTCTTTGCTTGTCCATGTCCCCCTGCCCCTGACCCTCTCTGTTAGTTACCAGTCCACGGGTAAAGAAGGGGGCCCCACACCTCATTCATGGTGAGCAATAATCAGGAACTGAAGGGAGTCCCTCGGGCTGATGCAAAGAGGGGGCCTGGCTGGGAATAGCCTTTGGGGGTAGGGTCTGAGTCAAGGGTTCTGAGAGAAGGGCTGTGGTCTGGACTCCTGGTCACGCATCCCGGGGGTATCAAAAGCCACCTCCTGGACCATGGTGAGCTGCCCGTCACTGGGGGCTGCCCTTCACGACATCACCCCTCACGTCAAAGGTCCATGAGCTGGAGAAGTCCAAGCGGGCCCTGGAGACCCAGATGGAGGAGATGAAGACCCAGCTGGAGGAGCTGGAGGACGAGCTGCAGGCGACAGAAGACGCCAAGCTGAGACTGGAGGTCAACATGCAGGCCCTTAAAGTGCAGTTTGAGCGAGACCTCCAGGCGCGGGACGAGCAGAACGAAGAGAAGCGGAGGCAACTCCAGAGGCAGGTAAGCCGTGGGGGCGGAGGGGGAGGGGGGACCGCCGCCGCTTCCTGGCTTCGGGGAGACTCTGACTTCTCACCTGCGAAGCCTACCTTCGGTGGTGGTGCAAACCTGGGCCCTGGGGGAAGGGATCCGAGGGGCGGCCCTGCCCCACAGCACACGTTTCTGGCCTCACCCAGCTCCACGAATACGAGACGGAACTGGAAGACGAGAGAAAGCAACGTGCCCTGGCGGTGGCGGCCAAGAAGAAGCTGGAAGGGGACCTGAAGGACCTGGAACTGCAGGCCGACTCGGCTGTCAAGGGGAGGGAGGAAGCCATCAAGCAGCTGCGAAAACTGCAGGTGGGTGACACCCCGAGCGCCGGGGGGTGACGCCCCAAGTACCAGGGAGGTCGGGGCCACAGCCGTGGGAGGACGCAGCCTCCTTCTGTCACTGGTGCCTGGTCACCTGGTGCTTCCCACCACGCTTTTGCTTTGGGGGCTGTTTCCTGCCCTGGGGGCGGAGGTGGCGAGGTCACCCTCCACCTGGTGACCTCCACCCTCGTCCCCAGGCGGAGCAGCTCAGCAACAGCCAAACACTATCCTCAGGTGTTTGGCTGCGGGCTTCCCTGGTGGCCCAGGTGGTAAAGAATCTGCCTGTGTAATGCAGGTTCTGTCCCTGGGTTGGGAAGATTCCCTGGAGAAGGGAATAGCAACCCACATCAGTATTCTTGCCTGGAGAATCCCATGGACAGAGGAGCCTGGCGGGCTATACAGTCCATGGGGTTGCTGTGAAGGGTCGGACACGACTGAGAGGCTAACAGTCAGACCTCAGCACCATTTCTTAGGTCTGCGGAGCCCGTCCAGAGCGGTGCCCCCAGGCAGCCACATGTGGCCAAAGGCTTTGTGGTTAATGGTGGGAAAACCTAGGCTTCCTTGGTGGCTCAGACGGTCAAGAATCTGCCCACGATGTGGGAGACCCAGATTCAATCCCTAGGTTGGGAAGATCCTCTGGAGGAGGAAATGGCAACCCACTCCAGTATTCTTGCCTGGAGAATCCCCTGGACAGAGGAGCTGGCAGGCTACAGTCCACGGGGTGGCGAGGAGTCGGACACGACTGAGTGACTAACACCCACTCGGGCCGGCACAAAAAGGTAATCCGCGCTGCAGGACCCGGTGAGTAAGGACTTCTTAGCTGGTTCTGCCTGTCCTCATGCAGGCTCAGATGAAGGACTTCCAGAGAGAGCTGGAAGACGCCCGCACCTCCCGGGATGAGATCTTTGCCACAGCCAAAGAGAATGAGAAGAAGGCCAAGAGCTTGGAGGCAGACCTCATGCAGCTACAGGAGGTAAAGCCTTCTCTGCACTGTGGGGGCCCTGACGGGGGGGCCCTGGGCACCCCAGGCTCAGGCGCCCGCATTCAGCACCCCACAGGCAGGGGCCCCGTAGCACGGGCGTGGAAAGACACAGGGTTTTCTCACTGACAGATCTGCAGGCCTCCCCCCAAGCTCAGAGGAGGCCATGCCATTTTCAAGGATGGCCAAGGAGATGGCTGGGGGCCTGCTGCTGGGAGTGGGGTGGATGCTTGGGTGGGGCTCAGCCCCTCCTGGCAGGCAGCTGGTTTCCTTCCTCCCCACCTCCCACCATCCAGGATCTAGCGGCGGCCGAGAGGGCTCGCAAGCAGGCAGACTTGGAGAAGGACGAATTGGCCGAGGAGCTGGCCAGCAGCGTGTCGGGAAGGTAGGAGCCGCCTGGGAAGAAAGGGGTCGCTAGACTCACATGATGAAAGAGGCAGTCAGTCAGAGGAGGCCTCCTGGACTGCATGTTAAGGCTGAACATGACAGCAAGATCAGCTGAGCTTGTGACAGGGGTATTCATACCCTATTTGGGGGTGTAGTCTGGTGGGGACAGGGCATATGGTGATGTCAGGGAGGAGGGAGCTGGTCCTCATCTCAGGCCTGGCTTTGCTGACACCAGCCGGCTCCCTGCTTCCCAGCTGTGTGAGTTTGCACAAGCCTCTAAGCCTCTCTGAGTCTCGACTGTAAAAGAGGACAGCCCCGAGGCATTGCTCCTCCGAGGGAGAGAGGAGCTGTCTAGGCCTAGGGGAGGCTGGGGGTTGCAGGGCGGCTGCCTTTCCCTTAGGAACACGCTGCAGGATGAGAAGCGCCGCCTGGAGGCCCGCATCGCGCAGCTCGAGGAGGAGCTGGAGGAAGAGCAAGGCAACACGGAGGCCATGAGTGACCGAGTCCGGAAGGCCACGCAGCAGGTGGGGGCCAGGCAGCCCGGATCCGCCTTGGGACGGGNGGCCTCACCCAGCTCCACGAATACGAGACGGAACTGGAAGACGAGAGAAAGCAACGTGCCCTGGCGGTGGCGGCCAAGAAGAAGCTGGAAGGGGATCTGAAGGACCTGGAACTGCAGGCTGACTCGGCTGTCAAGGGGAGGGAGGAAGCCATCAAGCAGCTGCGAAAACTGCAGGTGGGTGACACCCCGAGCGCCGGGGGGTGACGCCCCAAGTACCAGGGAGGTCGGGGCCACAGCCGTGGGAGGACGCAGCCTCCTTCTGTCACTGGTGCCTGGTCACCTGGTGCTTCCCACCACGCTTTTGCTTTGGGGGCTGTTTCCTGCCCTGGGGGCGGAGGTGGCGAGGTCACCCTCCACCTGGTGACCTCCACCCTCGTCCCCAGGCGGAGCAGCTCAGCAACAGCCAAACACTATCCTCAGGTGTTTGGCTGCGGGCTTCCCTGGTGGCCCAGGTGGTAAAGAATCTGCCTGTGTAATGCAGGTTCTGTCCCTGGGTTGGGAAGATTCCCTGGAGAAGGAAATAGCAACCCACATCAGTATTCTTGCCTGGAGAATCCCATGGTCAGAGGCGCCTGGCGGGCTATACAGTCCATGGGGTTGCTGTGAAGGGTCGGACACGACTGAGAGGCTAACAGTCAGACCTCAGCACCATTTCTTAGGTCTGCGGAGCCCGTCCAGAGCGGTGCCCCCAGGCAGCCACATGTGGCCAAAGGCTTTGTGGTTAATGGTGGGAAAACCTAGGCTTCCTTGGTGGCTCAGACGGTCAAGAATCTGCCCACGATGTGGGAGACCCAGATTCAATCCCTAGGTTGGGAAGATCCTCTGGAGGAGGAAATGGCAACCCACTCCAGTATTCTTGCCTGGAGAATCCCCTGGACAGAGGAGCTGGCAGGCTACAGTCCACGGGGTCACGAGGAGTCGGACACGACTGAGTGACTAACACACACTCGGGCCGGCACAAAAAGGTAATCCGCGCTGCAGGACCCGGTGAGTAAGGACTTCTTAGCTGGTCCTGCCTGTCCTCATGCAGGCTCAGATGAAGGACTTCCAGAGAGAGCTGGAAGACGCCCGCACCTCCCGGGACGAGATCTTTGCCACAGCCAAAGAGAATGAGAAGAAGGCCAAGAGCTTGGAGGCAGACCTCATGCAGCTACAGGAGGTAAAGCCTTCTCTGCACTGTGGGGGCCCTGACGGGGGGGCCCTGGGCACCCCAGGCTCAGGCGCCCGCATTCAGCACCCCACAGGCAGGGGCCCCGTAGCACGGGCGTGGAAAGACACAGGGTTTTCTCACTGACAGATCTGCAGGCCTCCCCCCAAGCTCAGAGGAGGCCACGCCATTTTCAAGGATGGCCAAGGAGATGGCCGGGGGCCTGCTGCTGGGAGTGGGGTGGATGCTTGGGTGGGGCTCAGCCCCTCCTGGCAGGCAACTGGTTTCCTTCCTCCCCACCTCCCGCCATCCAGGATCTAGCGGCGGCCGAGAGGGCTCGCAAGCAGGCAGACTTGGAGAAGGACGAATTGGCCGAGGAGCTGGCCAGCAGCGTGTCGGGAAGGTAGGAGCCGCCTGGGAAGAAAGGGTTCGCTAGACTCACATGATGAAAGAGGCAGTCAGTCAGAGGAGGCCTCCTGGACTGCATGTTAAGGCTGAACATGACAGCAAGATCAGCTGAGCTTGTGACAGGGGTCATGGGCTTTTCATACCCTATTTGGGGGTGTAGTCTGGTGGGGACAGGGCATATGGTGATGTCAGGGAGGAGGGAGCTGGTCCTCATCTCAGGCCTGGCTTTGCTGACATCAGCCGGCTCTCTGCTTCCCAGCTGTGTGAGTTTGCACAAGCCTCTAAGCCTCTCTGAGTCTCGACTGTAAAAGAGGACAGCCCCGAGGCATTGCTCCTCCGAGGGAGAGAGGAGCTGTCTAGGCCTAGGGGAGGCTGGGGGTTGCAGGGCGGCTGCCTTTCCCTTAGGAACACGCTGCAGGATGAGAAGCGCCGCCTGGAGGCCCGCATCGCGCAGCTCGAGGAGGAGCTGGAGGAAGAGCAAGGCAACACGGAGGCCATGAGTGACCGAGTCCGGAAGGCCACGCAGCAGGTGGGGGCCAGGCAGCCCGGATCCGCCTTGGNGTCCCTGGTGGCCCAGTGGTTAAGACTCTGTGCTCCCAATGCAGGAGGGGACAAGGGTTTGATCCCAGGTCAGAGAAATAGATCTGACATGCCACAGCTAAGACCCAGTGCAGCCAAATAAATAAATAATTTAATTTAAAAAAAAAGTGCCCACGTGGGTGATGCTGGTCGGGTTCACGCACTGTGCAGAGAGGCCCTCCCCATCTGAACCTTCCCTGCTTGCCCTATGTGCGCAGAGAGAAACAGGCGACCGCCAAGTCACTGAAGCAGAAGGACAAGAAGCTGAAGGAGGCCCTGCTGCAGGTGGAGGATGAGCGCAAGATGGCAGAGCAGTACAAGGAACAGGTAACTGCACCCCGGCCCCCCACCCAGCCCCACAGGCCCTGCCACGCACCCGCCTGACCCTCGGGCCGCTCCTTCCCAGGCCGAGAAAGGAAACGTGAGGGTCAGGCAACTCAAGAGGCAGCTGGAGGAGGCGGAGGAGGAGTCCCAGCGCATCAACGCCAACCGCAGGAAGCTGCAGCGCGAGCTGGACGAGGCCACGGAGAGCAACGAGGCCATGGGCCGCGAAGTGACGGCGCTCAAGAGCAAGCTCAGGTGAGGCACCGGCCCCCGGGGGCCTGGGCGCGCAGGGTGGCCTGGAACACCCACAGTGGCTCAGGGGCCCTCTCCCTGAGCCGCTCAGCTCATCCTGTATGCAGCACCAGCCCGTACTGGATGTGGCCGGGGCTCAGGTCACAGGGGCTATGCCTCTGAGCGGCTCCCCTTCCGTTCCAACAACCAGTCCCTTCCCGTCCTCCTGGCGAGGAGCAGGAGAACGAGGCGGTGTCTCCCTGTCTCCTGAGACCCTCATTCTCTGTGTCAGGACAACAGCAGACTCCCTTCTCTCTTCCCCTCTCTTCTGCACTTTCTCTTCCCCGCTCTTCCTAACTCAGGGTTTCTCCGCCCGATTGCCATCCAGGGCTGAATAACTCTTTATCATGGGTTTCCCTGGTAGCTCAGATGGTAGAGAATCTGCTTGCAAAATAGGAGATCCAGGTTTGATCCCTGGGTTGGGAAGATCCCCTGGAGAAGGGCAGGGCAACCCACTCCAGTATTCTTGCCTGGAAAATCCCATGGACAGAGGAGCCTGGTGGGCTACAGTCAGTCCAGGGGGTCGTAAAGAGTCGGACATGACTGAGCGGCTGTCATGGGCTGGCCTGTGCCCAGTAGGACACTAAGCAGTACCCTGGCCTCCACAAGCTAGACGTGGTAGCACGTCCCCTGATGTTCCTCGGGTGCTGTTGCCGACAGTTGAGCCCCTCTGCCCTAAGTGGGCGGGGTGGTTTTCTCTCCCACCCCTGAACCTCTGGGCCTGAAGGCAGTATGTGCTCCCTGCTCCCCAGGGCTCCTTCCAGCCCTGGTCCACCTGGTTCCCTGAAAGGCCTAGCTCCACGCTTTCCATGTCATCCGTCCACACCCTGCAGGCGGGTGATCCAGCCTCAAGTCCAGGACATTCCATCCTCCAGGGCCCTGCCACTCGCCTGCACTCCCGCTAACTCTCAGCCCTAACCTGATCATCAGGCATCACATCATCAGCCCACCACCACCTTGCTTCAGCTCTCCCCTCTGTCTCCACCGGGGTCTTGCACCCCTCGGCTCATCCTCTCGCAGCCCCACCAACTCCACGGTTACGATCAGCCTCTCCTAACATCCTTCACACTCTGGTCCCTCTTCCTGCTGTGCTGGGCTCACCTGGTTAAAATACAACCCAAATGAAACCCAACTGCCAATCTTCTGCAGCTCAAAGCGGTGTGAGAAAGCCAACAGGAGCGCTGCCACTTCCATTGAGAAATGTGCCATTGAGACGCCAAGTTGACCCCACTTAGTGCTGCTGGGACTTTCCCCTCCCCCGTCCCTCTACCCCTCACCCCTACCTCACCCCTCCCTCACCCTCTCACCTCACTCCCACTTGGGCATCTGCTTTTCACCCTCCCTGAACTTCCTACCTCTGCCATCCTCAGTCTCTGCTGATGACTGCACTTCCTATTTAACTGAAAAATGGAAACCATCATGAAGTATAAACAAGCCCCCACTTCTCCATACCTCTCTACATCTGTGCTCATTTCCTCTACTTTCCCCCCATTTCTGTGCTCAACTGTCCAGCACCAAATGAGGTCAACCCCACCACTAGACCCCTCACCCTCTTGTTTAACCAAGGATGTTGCTCCTGAAAGTCTTCCTGTGATATATTCTCTCTCTGAGTCGCTCCATCAGCCGAACAAACCCAACCCCACTTCCCTGCAGCCTGTCACCATAAAACTCCCAGTTCAGCAGCATGCATTACGTCCGGCCCATCGCGCCTCCTCGTGGGGCCTCCTGGCCCCACCCTCACCGGGTGTCCTTCCTACCTTTCTGGCCATCTTTTACCTCTTCTGCTGGGACCTTATCTTAAAGGCCAATTGCCATCGGTCTGCCCAGACTGCCACCCTGGTCCTCTCTCCATCTCCACCTCTACTCACTCCTCAGGTGAACCTAAACCAGCCTGGTGGCTTTGGAATTCCATCCACAGCTAGTGACTTCCTAGTTTATCTCCTGCCAGACTTCCTGGGATTCCAGACTTCCTTGACCTTCCTGTTCAATACCTAACAGGCAGCCTAAACACACCCCAACCTGAGCCCTGACTAAACCCGCTCATCCCCAAACCAACTCCTTGCACAGTCCTCCTTGGTTCAAAGCTGCTGTTAACCTAGGCCAGAAGCCTTCCTTATTTTTCTCTCCAATACACCATGCATCCGAGCTGTTGAGAAATCCAGTCAACTTTCCCTTAAATACTCTGCATCCAGAATCCAACCACTTCTTGCCACCTGGCCCAACCTACCCTCTCCTCCCATCTGGACGACTTTCTCAGCCTCCTCGTGGGCCTCTCGTGTCCATGCTGGCCTATTATAGTCCGTTCTCAACACAGAAATGGTGTGGGATCATGCCTCTCCTATGTCTGGAGCCCTCCATGGGCTCCCATCTCACTCACAGTAACATCTTGACAACGGTTAGGTCCACTAGGCCCTGCACGATCTCTGTCTTCTGCCTCCTAAAGTACCCCTCCACCTCTTCATCTTCTGCCTCGGGGCCCTTGCACTGGCTGCTGTCTCTGCCTGGAATGCTCTTCCCCCAGCTCATTGCAATAGCTGCCCCCTCCTTCCCTTCCTTCAGGTGTTTACTCATCCATGTGATCAGAACTTCCTGCCTCACTCCCTGCCATTCTCTTCTCTCTTAGCCACCTGTCATTGTGGAACTTGTTATTCTTTTACTTATCTCATATACAGTCTGTCCTCACTCTTGGCCTGCAAGGCCATAAACACAGAGGCTGTGTCTGCTTATTCATCTCCAGTGTCTGGGCACAGAATAAACCTTCAGTCACTGAGTCAGAGATGATGTTTCTCCAACCTCAGCCATTCTCACACCACCTTTCCCATTTTGCCTTAGTCTCTTACCATCTGTACTTTTGTTGACTTCATACTTGCTTTGAAATTTACTGTGTAAATCATACATGTGTCTATTGACAAATGAAACCTATCTCCCCTATGTTGTTAAACCAGGGTCCCTTGCATCAACAGGTCACAATCAAGTTAAACATAGTGAAAACAAAACAACAGTGAGTTCTAGCTATCGTGGCCACAAACTGATGACTGTGACCCGAAGGCCGACTTCTCATTAAAAAGACAATGACAAAAAACGACATTAGCACCAAACAGACTCTCTGACATAATCAGATGTATTTAAAGAGTGGAAAGGGGAATTCCCTTTCTCACGGTGCAGTTCAGCAATCCAAGGGCATGCCTGAGAACCCTCTGAAATCACCTGGCATCTCAGTTCCAGACTCTGAGAACCACTCTAGGAGACAACAGGAAGCCTGAGCCCCTGTCACGAGGGGGTAGTGAGCAGGCATTCAGGAAGGAGCACCCTGCCCATGCAAGGTGATGGACGGGTGGTGTGTCCCCACTGCTGGAACCCCCAGAACCCTCTCTGCTGCTGACTGGATGCTGCCCTTCCGTGGACGTGGGCTGAGCAGTGGGGGTGCAGTCAGCCACCCCAGCTCTCTTACCATTTTGTTGTTACTGTCCCTTTCTTGGGACTGATGTCTCTTTCATTTTTTTTTTTTTTTTTTAATTCTTAATATCTTTTGGCTGCACTTCGAGGCTTGTGGGATCTTAGTTCCCGGACCAGGGATTGAACCCAGTCCTCGGCAGTGAGAGCTCAGAGTGCCAACTAGACCGCCAGGGAATTCCTGGGACCGGTCATTCGTGCAGCACAAGCCGACCATCCCTTTTGGAATCTGCCCCAGATAACTGACCCTTCTCTGGGCCATACAGGCCGGTATTAGACCACCCACTTTTTTACAGTTAACATAAGCGTACACATACATATGGGTGGAAGACAGCTCCCACCTTTTCTGCCTTCTCTGAGTCCTCCAAACGTGCAAAAACCCAAGATCAAGCACGAGGGCTGTGAGTGAGGTTCGCAAGCCTCGCCAGCCCCTCAATGAGCAAGGAATTACAACACACATCTCACACGATTTTACCAGCCAGATACATCGGAACACGAGCCCTCATTAGAGCCTGACCAACGCACCCATCCCTCCCCAGACTGCCAGGCATCTCCACGTGAGCCGCCCAGGTGCCCGCCTCTACCTTCTGGCCATGGGCATGAGAGGCAGTGGAGACAGTCGCGGGAATGAAGCACAGGCTGCTGCAGGCTCCTTGCCTGGAGCTGTCCAGGTTCTGGTCTCACAAGGGTCTTCTGGCCTAACTTACTCAGATTCCTTTACCTCCTCCCTGAAGAGAAATGCAGAATGGGAGGAAGCCATAAAGCCTGCATTCTTTCAGCTCTGAAGGACAGAAAGTTGCTTTTTAATTGGGAAAAAACAAACCACTCGTCCTTTTGTGCGCCAGCTTCCCTGAGTGCTTGGCGGCTGCAGGGACTCCGCTGTAAGGGTCCTTAAAAGTGGCTTTAACCATGACTTGAAGCAAACGCCTTTAATGATTAAACTCGCACCTGAACAGGAGGATGGTAACCACCGGGGCCTCTCTCTCTCTGTTTCAGAGGCCCCCTCCCCCAGGAAACTCCGCAATGACTCACCAGGTATCATGCCTGCAGCTTCGCGGCTCGTGTGTGCGTGTGTGGCTCCAGGTTCCCCTTTCCTTTCTGCCAGCGCGTCCCCCGTCTCCCCTTTTTGGGCCCTCCCAAATTTCTGAGATGTCTACAGAGTCCGAAGGCTTAGGGAGCTGAGGTTCAGAACAGTCTTTCATCAAAAGCAGGATGCACCCAAGATGACCTCTTCACAAAGTCTCCTTCCTTCCTCTTGCTTGGGCGTTTGACGTGGCGCTGATGTGGCCTGTCACACCGTGCGCTGACAAGTTCAGAGGCTGTCTTGCGTGGCTTGGAGGGTCCTTACCTGGGTGAGGCCACGGCTGGGCCGTGCCCCCTCGTCCGGCTCAGGCACCTCACTGAGCGGAGGCACCAGCACCACTGTCTGGGTACCTTCCTAGAGAATGGCTGCCATTGGCTGGCCTGGTTCACAGGTCGGAGTTAGCCAAGCACAGGGTCATGGTGGCCCCCAGCCACAGGCCCCCCGGGCTGGGGTTTCCACACACGCGTGCGAGCGAACGAGCTCTCATCCCGACATCTCACCCTCACAAGGGCTGCGTGGGGCTTCAGCGAGGCCGGCTGCTAACTGCATCTTGAGCGCACGAGGGCCGGGTCAGGCCGAGTCTTTCCCAGAGGCCTCCCGGGCACGTGTTCACAGACCCGGGATTGACATCCACGACTCGGGGGGTGCACGGGGCCGTCACAAGACAGGGCCCAGAGGCCTTGGCTTCTCTGGGATTCTAACAACGTCTTCACAAGTGCAGTTGGGCCCCAGGGCCTGGCTTCCCCCTCATCTTTGAGGCCCAGCCAGCTCTGCCTTCTGTCCGTGTTCTCTCCTGGAGAAATCTCGGCTTTGCTGTCACTGGAGCAAATACTTTGCTGTTGCTTTAAATACTTAAAGCTGGAGGAGGTCTCGGCAGGAGCTTTAGGTGGGAGCGCCACGCCTCTGGGGCACTGCCAGCCCGTGGGAATCGCGGGACAAGCTGGATCCCAGGCTTGGCTGAAGGAGGCCCCACTGGTTGATGGAACCTGAGTCCTTGTAGGGTAGCAGAGCCTACGCGCTCGTGCTCATTCCTGGGGCGCCAGCAGTGCCTGACGCATGTTCCTGAACCCAAGTTCTCCAGGATCAGACACTTCAAGCAGATTTTTAGAGGAGTCCCTTGTTCCTTTGGCAGAGATAGCCAGTTATCAACCTTTGCCTAGGATATGAGGCCTGTTCCTTCAAGCGAGGCTCCTGAACCAAAACAGATCAGCTTCAGCCCTGGTGCCCACGTTGGGGGCGGGGAGTGGTTCCAGGGACCCAGGCGTAATTTACTTCTTAAGTCAAAGGAGCATATTGATCAGTTAAACTCCTCTAATTAGCAAATGTGGGCTTCCCAGGTGGCACTAGTGGTAAAGAACCTGCATGCCAATGCAGGAGATGTAAGAGACTCATGTTCAATCCCTGGGTCAGGAAGATGCCCTGGAGGAGGGCATGGCAACCCACTCCAGTATTCTTGCCTGGAGAACCCCTATGGTATGAGGAGCCTGGAGGCTTACAGTTCACGGGCTTGCAGAAGAGTCGGACACGACTAAAGCAACTTAGCACACACGCAGTTAGCAAGTGCAGGCTCTTCTGAGAGGCCGAGGGAAACAGAGGCACCGTGTCCCAGCCCATCCCATCCAGTGTTGAACCTGGAAGGTTAGATGTGGAGGAGAAAGCTGTGTGGACGACTGCTGAGACCTGCATGCCGAGAACACACTGCTAAGGAGGAAGAGATTTTTTAAAGGTCACCTCTAGGGAGGGAGCGATATAAAGTTACTTTCAAAGGGTTAGGGTTAGGTTAGGGAGCTGGAGACCTAGAAGCTTCCTCTGATGGGAGGAGGGCTGCCCTGAGTCTTCAGTTGGCAGTGCCTACCACTTTAAGTATTGATTCCTGGTCGCTGTCCCCTTACCATCTGCCATACCGAACGGGCTTTACCGGCCTGGTTCCTCCCACCCTTGGATGCCAGATGGCTTGTGCTGGGAAGCCTGTCAGCGATCAGGAATCTCTGGGCCTTGCTTCTGCCTCCTGTCTTACCTGTCTGAGTCGCCCCCTGTGACTAAAGAGTCGATGGGCTGGGCTCACCCTCGCGGCTTTCCTTTGTCCAGCCTTTGTGTGGTGAAGTGGATCATTTTTTGTTGCAAAAGTCTGCTTTCTTCTTAGACATACTAAAATGAGCTAAGACCTGTCAAACGGGGTCAGGTGGCCAGAGCTCAACATATAACATTATTTGTTGTGGTGGCTGAAAAGAAGGCAAACACTCCTTCCAAATGGTGGAGGTTAAGAGCAGGCGGGTCTGACTTTTCCTTCTCCTGCCCGCCCCGCCTTCTTACACAAAGCCTCCCTGCCAGTGACCAGGGCGGGCCCTGGTGGGAACAGGGCATCCAGCGGGACAGAGAAGAGGTGATGGGAGTGGGAAAGAGAGAGAGAAAGGGGCGTCCCACCAGTTAGAACTAAAAGACACCTTATATTAACGGGTCTAATGTTTTTCTGACAAATATCCACTGAGCACCTGTTCTCTGCCTTGCACGGTGCCTGCCATGGTGAGCACATAACAGACGAGATCCCTGCCCTGGGGGAACTCAGTCCAAGAATTCTGCTCCACGGAAGCAGGGTGTGTTGGTGCCTTTAACCAGACAGCATTCTTCTGGCGACCACACAGGGACCTCCTTCCCTCTCAAGGCTGCCCTTGGTGGTCACGCTCACTTTCCTCCAATTCAAAACCTAACCCCCTCCCCGCTTTTCCTTCTGCAAAAGAGGAGGTGCGGACACAACAGTTCCCCCTCATCCTGGCCCCAGAGGGTAGGAATAATCCCATGCGGGGCATCACCCCACTTACCTCTTCCCCTTCTTTTCTAAATACAAGTCCACAGCCGACCAGAAGCCGGTGGGTCAGCAACTGACCAAGCCAGACATTTTTTAAAAGCAGATGGTCCTGCTTTGAAAAACCTATTCTGCCCCCATTGCAGCTGATTAAATGCACCCATACCTCCAGACGGGTCAGGATTTGTTCACTTCCACCTGAATATATTTGCCTCTCATTTGTTTCAAGTCTCTGTTTGGTCTTTGCTCAGTCTGAAAACCTCTTCCAACCTCGCGGGAGATTTTGGTACTAAACAAACGTGTGTCTTTAACCCACAGGCGAGGGAACGAGACCTCTTTCGTTCCTACAAGAAGGTCTGGAGGACGCAGAGTTATTGAGAACGCGGATGGTTCTGAGGAGGAAATGGACGCTCGCGATGCCGACTTCAATGGAACCAAAGCCAGTGAATGAATGACTTGCTCAAAACGGGACAGAACCAAACCCAGTGGACTTTGCTTAGCACCGTCTAAATCCATTTTCAAACTCCAAACATCACAGACACCCCTCACGATGAATATAAACACCGCCCTGCATTCAGGGCATCATCTTAAGTTTGGAACGAGGTATCAAAGGCGAAAAATCCAACAGGTGACACAGACACACCCATCCTCTCTGCCAAGAACTGTGCAGAGATTTTTTGAATTTTTAGAAAAATATATCCACAGTAACTAATCACTGGCAACTTAATTTACATGAAACGGGGAGAAAGTCACCACCAAGGTGGGTGCCCCTGCCCCTACTCCCCAACTTTCCTGCCCTGTGGACCCTTCCATCGTCCTCAGCTGGGGGCGGGGGCCGGTTTGAGAATTCCTCTTCCCTCCGGTTCCCACACGTCAGACGCACACAGTTCACTGAGACGAAGTGCCTTCTGTAGTCACGTGAGTTACAAAGGAGACGCTGCGCAAAGGCTAAGAGCAGGAAATTCACACTGTTTTATATGCACTGACTGTACTTAAAGACACCCTCACTAATAAAAGGTTATAAATCACTACAACCGAGTTGGCTTTTCTGTCACTTTCTAGAGAAAAAGGACAGGACAGGATGGGTCGGGGAGGGAGAGGGGGCAGAGTGGCCTCATTTATGACCATCCTATGAAGTCAGTGGAGCAGGAACTGGCAACCCACTGGCAACAGTATTCTTGCCCGGAAAATCCCAGGGACAGAGGAACCTGGTGGGTCCCAGTCCCTAGGGTTGCAATGAGACGGCTACAACTACGTAACTAATGTTTATGAAGTCAGGGTTGTTATTTCATTAAATGGGGAAACTGAGGTCTAGGGAGGTGAGAGGAATTGTCTGACACCCCAGAGCTGGCCGGGGGAGAGCAGAACCTCAGACTGAGTCTGAGGGAGGGGCTCTTCCACGCGGGAGGTGAGCAGCTCGAGGCCCAGGGAGCAGGACGGGGCTCAAGAAGAACATGTGCATCAATCAGAACAGCACGTGATGGGGGCTTCCCTGGTGGTCTGGTGGCTGAGACTTCGCATTCCAATGCAGGGGGTATGGGTCTGAACCCTGGTCGAGCAAGATCCCACATGCCTTATAGCCGAAAAACCCAAAACCTAAGACAGAAGCAGTATTGTAATAAGTTCAATAAAGACTTTAAAAATGATCCACATAAAAAATTCTTAGAAAATAAAACAAAACCAGGTACGTATTTCAATAAAGGTACAAGTTCAATAAAGGTGCAAACCAGGTACGTAGTTAATGTGAAGAAGAATAACCGTTCCTTGAATGTTTGAATTAAAACACAAGACTTCGCCCAGCAGGGGCTGACAGACTTTTTCTATAAAGGCCTAGAAATGGTCTCTGTCACATTTTGGTCATTTTTTTATTATTATTAAACTGTCCTTTAAAAATGTATAAATCATTCTTGGTGTGAGGGCCATAAAAACCGGGTCTGGGCCCATCCTTTCCTTCACCTGCATGCTCTAGACAGAGATGTCTGGCGAAGGTTCCGCTCAACACAAAACGACTCCAAACTCAGACTCTGGGCTCAAACAGACTGAAAAGAAAGGAATCAAGAGACCGAGGACACGCTGAAAGACCAAAGGTCAGATATAGCTTCAACAGGAAATACACGTGTTCCAAACACAACTATAAGCTGACCCGAAAGGAAATTTTTAAAAAGTAGGTTTTTTTCATTGTCACTTGTTTTAAAAGAAGAAGTTTTTCACCATCGGATGCTCAAACACAGAAGCACTAACCGGCATTTACTGACCGCCATAATCTAGCTGAAAACCAGTGTCTCTTGATTTTATTGTTCTTTTAAAAAAATAAAAGTACATCTTTTACCGATACAGGTTAGAATGTTGCCATGGTAATGAGGTGAGCACTTGAGTTTAATTCTCTGCTGAATTTCAGTAGCACTTGAAAAGTTCTGTTTTCAACTGGGTATTTTTACTGTTCTTTCGGAAAAATAACTTAGTAACAGAAGGCTGTTAGGCTGTATGCATATGCCTGAATTCAGGTGTTCTTTTTACTTGTGTCCAGAGTGTGAGGCAGCTGTTCAAAACCAGCAGGGAGGAGCCACATGCCGTCTGCATGGAAATCCTGGGTTCGTTTCTTCTTTAATAAGGACGCTCCCAATGCAACCCTGGTGGCTTCGTCTTATCTGAAGGTCACCTTGATTATTTCATCAAGGCTTTACATGAAGTCCTGTTCGCAGGGGCTGCATGGCTAAGGCCATCACACCCCAGAAACCCTCAGAAGCAGAGGTCACTCCCAGACCAGGGTGGGAGGCTCGGGACAGGGATAGGTCTAAAGGCGACACAGATTTTCCACTGACCTGGTCCCCACAAAATTTACACTGAAACTCAAGCATGCGTCTAACAGCCTCAGTGTCAGGCAGATTAAAAAGTCTTGGAGGTACGCGTGTATAAAATAGAGCTAGTGGGAAGCTGCTATATAGCCCAGGGAGCTTAGCTCGGTGCTTGGTGATGACCTAGAGGGGTGGGATGGGCAGCTCAAGACGGAGGGATATCTGTAGGGATATCTGTATACACGTAGCTGATTCACTTTGCTGTGGGGCAGAAACTAAACAACATTGTAAGGCAATGTAAAAAAAGTCTTGGAGGTACACCACACCACAGTTTGAATAAAAGGTAAGTGCCTGTTCTATTCTCCACCCCGGGCGTGATCTCAGGGCACTGACCCCTGCTGTGCCGCTGGAGAGTTTGTTCTGGAAGAAGCGCCAGCTGTGGGCGGCAGGGTGCGCCTAGGATGGCCTCACACTCCGCTTCATAGGTGTCTCCGATCGCTAAAAACACCTCTCAAGACCAACGGGGACTCGGCTCAGCTGACAAGGATGGGGCAGCCTTGGCACCCACATCACCCTTTCCAGAGGGTCAGGTTGGTCCCGGCCCCTGGCTGTACATGCCAGCACGGAGGCCGGGGGTTAAGGGACTGCATTTCCTGCGGCCACCAACCCAGGGCCCCCGGCGATGGCCCTGGTCCCTCGGCTATGTGTGACTGCTTGCTCCTGTTTCTCTAACTTAAAAAAAAAAAAACACCCAAAACCTAGTTTAAAGAGGGAAGGAGGGGAAGGGCTCGCCTCGGCTTCCGTGGCTTTCCTAAAGCAACATCTTGACTACACCCTGGGCGGACGGCAGCGACGGTGAGGAAACATTCGATGACGGCTTCCCAAACTCCAGGCGTTTTCCCAACCTTCAGACAGAGCAAACCAAGTTAAGCGGACATTACAGCTGTTCTAGGCTTGCTAGCACAGGGCCCACCAAGTTACAAGGGTGAATATCAGGGTCGGGAGCAGGGTCTCACTGGGTCTCACTTTTCTCTCCTGTGAAATGAAGAAAAGGACACTGGCCATCTAGCGCTCACAGCCCTCCCCCAAAGCCACACAAAAAGCCCAGTCACAGAAGACCCTCCAAAGAACACCTCCAGCTAAAGGTCCAGAAGTCACGTGCATGCTGGGGAAAACAAATTTTTCCTCTCCTGTCCTCTGTCTGTGCCACTGACCACCCCAAATCTACGTGGCCCGGGGGCCAGTGAGATGGTGGCACATCTTAGAAAATTCTAGAATCTAGAGACCGCCCTGATTTACTTCAGGCCACAAAATAAATGAAGCTGTTAGAGGTCAGGTTTGTGTTTTCCAATCTGGTGATTGGCTTCAGGAATCCAGTCTGGCTGATTTACTTTCCTGAAGGTTCTAAAGGGTTAAAAAAAAAAATCAAAATCCTCTTCTGGGGGAAGCAGAGCAGGGTTTGAAGCCTGAGTCCCAAACAAGCGATTTATACAAAGGGCCTTCTCACAGCATGAGTGGGAGCTGGGGCTCTAGAGTCAATAAAAACGACCCTCTCCCTGGCCATTAGCCCAAACCAGAAGAACTCAACTAACTTGGCCTCAAGGGAGAGAGATATGCTGACATAATTCCTGCAACTTTCAAAACAGCGCTGTCATCGGGGGTCAGAGACTTCTGGCTGGAGTGGACGGGTTCTCCCAACACTGAGGAGGAGCAACGCAAGGCACTGACCCTTTGTCACCTAGAGGCACGCTGCTGCCGCCAGGCCGCCGGTCCACGCTGTCTCTGTTTCTGCTCCCCCGCCCTGAGGCTGGGCCACTGGCTCGGCTTGGGGACTGATCGTACACGAAGTTCCGGCAGGAAGCAAGTTTGGACTCCAGGGCCTGGAGAGAGAGATGCTTTCATTGCTCAAGTTGAAGACAAGAACCCTTACACCTCTCATCGGAGCCCATGTTGTTGTTCAGTCGCCCAGCTGTGTCTGACTCTTTGCCACGCCCTGGACCGCAGCACACCAGGCCGCCCTGTCCCTCACCATCCCCTGGAGTTTGCCCAAGTTCATGTCCATTGCATCGGTGATGCCATCACTGATGATGTGGATGGGCCGTCAGAGCCCATTCACATCATAATAACTTAAGACAGTGGTTCTCAAACCAGAACCACTAGTGTTAGAACCGCTGTGTTAGAACCCCAAAGCGCGCCCTCCCCACTCCCCACCAAATTCAGGTACATCCAACTCATACCATCGGCGGTCTAAGATATCTAGGAGCTTCCTGAAAAGTCACTAACCCTACCTATGATCCAAGTCTGCCTACAAGAAAGAATGAAATTGACTTTTGGAATCATTCACTGTCACTGTTACCTAGTTACACACACACCAAGTGAGTGGCAAGAGGTTTGAACAAGAATTTGCCTTCCTGTAAAGAGACCCTCTGGGAACCAAACGGGCACTGAGATCACCCTGGGCTTCTCTATAATCTATTAAAATCTGTTTGTAAAACAGCAAACCAGAAAACCAAAAGCCAAAAAGAAAAACACAGGAAAGAAGTTGCAAGCGTCTACTAACTCTGAATACACACATTCTGGTCAATGACAGACTGGCAGGATTTAAACTATGTGGCTTTCCATTTTTTAAAAATTTAGAAAGGCATCATTTTTAAAAACAAGAGAAACAACTACAGAGAATAGCTATGTGATTTCTTAAGCACCAAAGACTCCCTCCCTGTAATTAACATAAAACCTGTAAGGTCATGTTCTCTGCCCAGCCTTTCAAGATTTTCTCTTTAACTCCCTGAGAAAATAAAAACCACGCCTGACAAAATATGATTCCCTGGAGGAGGGAATGGCAAACCACTTCAGTATTCTTGCCTCAAGAACTCTGTGAACAGTGTGAAAAGGGAAGGCAGTTTTCAATTTTTCTCAGTTTGAAGTAAAATAAAGTAAATAAAGTTTGAAGTAAAAAAAAAAAAAGCTTTGAAGTAAAATAAAGTAAATAAAGTTTGAGGTAAAATAAAGTAAATAAAGTTTGAAGTAAAATATCATTAATATCATTCAAATTTCCCAATTGCCGGGGAAAATGGCACAGGGAAAGAACGGTATACCCGGGGATCTAAGGGTGCCTCAGGGTCAGAGCCTGGGTTTGTCTCCCCGAGGGCCTTCCCTGGCAGTCCAGTGGTTGGGACTCTGGGCTTTCACTGCCCAGGGCCTGGGTTCAATCCCTGGTCGCGGAACTAAGACACAAG